TAATTTGAATGCAAAGAAAAGCACTAACAACAAATATGAAAGAAACAAAATGCTAAAATTTGATGGTCAAATAAAAAGATGCAGGAACTATGAAGAAATGCAATGAAAATAAAGAACATAAAAGAAAAAAAAATTGAAAATGGGAGTATGTTGGTGTTGGACGGATGTGTGTCTTTGTGGTTCCTTCCTCTCCCTCTTATATCACAACTTCATCTATTACTTATCTTGTTCCCCAAGTCTTTCTCAACTCCTCCACTCACCCACTTTGTTTATTCACTTCCTTAACTTCCCCAACCAACTTTGGACATGTCAACACATCTTGGACCGGGCCGGTCGGATTCGACTTCTTCGTGGGTTGGATGGTTTGATCCACTGGGTTGGGCCACTGTTTCTTATCGGACTTGAAAATTAGGGAGTAACAAATGCCCCCCATAAAATATTTGGGCGAGAAGTTTGCGTAAAATATCAAACTTTGAAGCCCTACTATTTTTGTACGAGATTTCGGCAGTACTTCGGCTCTAGCCTCATACGGCCTCATCCGGCAACGCAGGGAGCTGGTCCAGGTTGTCTCATAATCGAATTCGTTGGGAAATATGGAGGTTGGGATTAAAGATTCTTAATTTTCTTGCTAAAAATCCAACTGCCTCGACCTTGAAGTCGTCTTCGTATTGTAGGGTTCGCTCCAAGTCTCGATCATTGCCTATGATGTTGAGACTGGCCTCTGAAATTCTATCATCTTCAAGAGCCTTAATGATAGGTTCGTCCTCCTATCTGGAGTTTTTGGATCCTCTGAAGGAGGTTTTTCATCAGGGACAACTTTGTAGTCCGAAGTCACTTGTTTTAGCATCCACTCTTGCCGGATTCGGCGCGGACGTGACAAACCACTCTTGTCCAACACATCCATCTGTGTATGGCGTATCGGAGCTTATTTACTTGCAACTCCATCTCCTTTTGATCGAAACTAGGTGTCCGACACCGACGTCACTTCCTCTGTCTTTGCGCTCTCGTTTTTTCTTCCTCCGGCCGCATGTCCGACGCTCATCCCTCGAGGGCAGCTCGTAACGCCGTGTTGGATGAAAGGTTACTACCACTCAACCCACCGAGGCCACCCTTCATATCTCTACATTTTTTCAGAATAGATTTCCGCAAATGTGTCGCTATGGTTCCTCCAGTTTCCGTCGGCCCTTGCTAGTGAAGTGCTAGATTTCATTGGCCGTACTCCGATAGTATTGATCGGCACACGAGATGGTTGGATGGTCACATATAGAGCTGTAAACGAGCCGAACATAGCCGAGCTTTTCATGTTTGAGCTCGACTCGTTAAGGACTAGAGCTCGGCTTATGTTCGTTCGTTAAGAGATACGAGCTGAAATTTTTGTTTGAGCTCGGCTCGTTTAGCAAATTTTTTGTTCATGTTTGGCTCGGCTCGGCTCGTTAAGAGAAATTTTACTTTATTTATCTAATTTTTTTAAAAAAATTAAATTTAGTTAATAATAATTATAACTTTTATTAATAAATTTAAATAAAAAATAGAATGCAATATAATATTTATAAAGATATATATACTTATTAAATATAAAATTATTAATTTAATTTTATAATAAATATTATCGATCGTTCGCGAACAAGCTCGAGAGCTCATTCGTGAACATAACGAGCCAAAATTTATGTTCGTGTTCGGCTCGTTTAGCTTAACGAACGAGCTTTTAGCAAGCTCAAACGAGCCAAACCGAGCCGAGCTCCCGAACTGTTCGTTTGTTTTACAGCTCTAGTCATAGAGGTCTGATCAGATCTTTCTTCGACATCAAAATTGCCTTCCTGCGTATGCAATGAATGATTTTCGCCACTAATATCCCGGAGAAGTTGTTCTGCCTTGGCCGCCGTTGCGAAAAGCTTCCGGAGATCGTTATACTCTTGAAGGTTCAATTTGTCATGAGGTTGGCACGTCATGTTGTTGACCGTCATGTCGGCGACTTGATTTTTGGGTATCCGCATTTGATATTGACCTTCTGCCCTGCGAAATCTTTCCAAAAAACTTTCTACCGGCTCATCATATTTTTGCCATAGGTTAGTTAAGTTGGATACTGTCACTTCCGGAAGCGGGCTGTAAAACCGCTCGTTTAATGCCCTTTCTAGGTCTTCCCATGTATGAAATAAATTAGGATGGAGAGATGAATACCATGTGAAGGCCATCCCGATGAGGGATAACAGAAATAGTTGGAGCTTGTACCACTCGTTTTCCCCGAAATCTCTTCTACACTACGTCGTGAATCAATCGACAAGCTCAATCATTGAGCATGAGTTCTCCCCCTCCGAAAAAGCATAAACTCTGGGGTCCAAGCATTCCAGGGGAGAGGATGGTTGACGCTGATCTGATCCGAGAATGGCCGTTGATAGTATAGTCTTGTGGGCAGCCCGATGGGGTTGCCGTATATTCTTTGGGCTGTCTTTTCAATCACTTGTGAATCGATAATTGGTTGTGGCGGTGAGGTTATTTCTGCGTGTCCTCCGAGCCATACAGGGGTTGATGTTGCTCTGCCAGGATCTGTGGCAGTTTTTTTCGGATTTGAATCAAGCTTGCAGAGTTGCATAAATGTAGCGAAACTCGTTGGTATCCCACTGGGTGTGCCAATTTCCTGTCGCTGAAATTCATCGATGATAGCCCAAAAAGTTAAGCCTGTCGAAATTGACAAGAATTGGGTTTCCCGGACTACTAAAAAAGTATCCGAGCTTGGTCTCGCGATGGGAAATTGAAATGTAAGAAATTTGGGACCGAAAAATGTTGAGAAATGAAATTTATGTAACAAGAAAGTAAAAAAAAAAATATATGAATCTGGTATGATCAATTGGTTCTAGAAAAATAATTAATTTGAATGCAAAGGAAAGCACTAAAAACAAATATAAAAGAAAAAAAATGCTAAAATTTGATGGTCAAATAGAAAGATGCAGGAACTATGAAGAAATGCAACGAAAATAAAGAACATAAAAAAAAAAATGAAAATGGGAGTATGTTGGTGTTGGACGGATGTGTGCCTTTGTGGTCCCTTCCTCTCCCTCTTATATCACAACTTTTATCCATTACTTATCTTGTTCCCCAAGTCTCTCTTAACTCCTTCACTCACCCATTTTGTTTATCAACTTCCTCAACTTTCCAACCAACTTTGGACATGTCAACACATCTTGGACCAGCCCGGTCGGATTGAACTTCTTCGTGGGTTGGATGATTTGATCCTCCGGGTTGGGACGTCGTTCCTTATTGGGCTTGAAAATTATGGAGTAATAAATGCCCCCCCCCCCCCAAAAAAAAAAATATTTGGGCGGGAAGTTTGCGTAAAATGTCAAACTTTGAAGCCTAATATTTTTATACGAGATTTCGGCGGTACTTCGGCTTTAGCCTCATATGGCCTCGTCCGGCGGTGGCATGGAGCTGGTCCGGGTCGTCTTAGGGTCAAATTCGTTGGGAACTGCGGTGGTTGGGATTAAAGCTTCTCGATTTTCTTAGTAAAAATTCAACTTCCTCAACTTTGAAGTCGTCTTCACACTGTAGGGCTCGCTCCAAGTCTTGATCATTGGCTATGATGTTCGATACTGGCCTCTGAAATTCTATCATCTTCGAGAGCCCTAATCATAGGTTCATCTTTCGTATCTGGAGCTTTTGGATCTTCCAGAGGAGGTTGTTCATCCGTGAGAGCTTTGTTGTCTGAAATAACTTATTTTGGCCTCCACTCTTGTCGCATTCAACGCGGACGTCGCAAACCACTCTTGTCCGACACATCCATCTATGTATGGCTTGCTCAGAGCTGATTTCCTTGATGCCTCATCTCTTTTTTTTCTAATCAGAGTTAGCTATCCGGCACCGCCGTCGCTTCCTCCGTCTTTGCGCTCTCGTCTTTTTCTTCCTCCGACCGCATGTCCGACGCTCATCCCTCAGGGGCTACTTGTAACACCGCATCGGATGAAAGGTTAGTACCACTCGGTCCACCAAGGCCACCCTTCATATCTCTTTATTATTTTCAAAATGGATTTCCAAAAATGTGTCGTTATGGTTCCTCAAGTTTCCTTCGACCCTTGCTACTGATGCGTAAGCTTTTATTAAGCGTACTCCGATGGTATTAATCGGTGCACGAGACGGTTGGATGGTCACGGAGGTCCGAGCATATCCTTCCTCGACATCGAAAATTTCTTCTTGTGCATACAATGAATGATATTTCCCACTGACATCCCGAATGAGTTGTTTCGCCTTGGCCGCCTTTGCAAAAACCTGTCGGAGATTGTTATACTCTTGAAGGGCCAATTTGTCACGAATTTGGCCCGTCATATTGTTGACCTCCATGTCGGCGACTTGGTTTTCATGTATCCACACCTGACAGCGACCTTCTACCCTGTAAAATCTTTCTAAAAAACTTTCTACCGGCTCATCATGTTTTTATCGTAGGTTAATTAAGTCGGATACTGTCACTTCCAGAAGGAGGCTGTAAAATCGCTCGTGGATTGCCCTTTCTAGGTCTTCCCATTTATGAAATAAATTAAGAGGGAGAAATGCATACCATGTGAAGGTTGGCCCGGTGAGGGATAACGAAAATAGTTGGAGCTTGTACCATTCATTTTCCCCGAAGTCTTCTCTGCACTGTGCCATGAATCAATCGACATGCTTAATCGTTGATGGCGAGTTCTCCCCCAAAAAAAGCATAAACTCTGGGGTCCAAACATTTTGGGGGAGAGGATGGTTTTTTTTATTTTTTTTTTCTTTTTTTTTTTTGGGACATAAGCTACCTTATGAGTATACCCGCATTTGAAACTCTAACAACTTCCTTGAAAAGTAGCATAATGCATGTTAAATTGCAATGCATGAGTCATATAGTGCAACTAGACATTCTCTGCTTTTTCACTATAGGAATTTATAGGAAGGTAATAAGATAGGATGGTAATACAATCCATTATGTTACCCTGTCTGGTAATGAAAATACATCAGCATATTCAATGTTCTTTTTTTAATAGGTCCAAGCTTCCAGCAGGCAATTAGGCAGTTCTCAGAATGATATGAACTCCGCTGTCGGTGTCCACTATGTCGCTAATGTCCCCAACTTGTAGTGCAAATGTTGTCTCTTCAAAAGGCTTCTGCATCTGACCCTTCCCAAATGGACAAAGATCTCCGCCACGCTTGGCGGAGCTGCAGTGAGAGTGCTGCCTGGCGAGTTCCTGGAAGGTGGCGTCGCCGGAGACGATTTGCGCGCGGAGCCCCTCTAGCTGAGCGACGGCTTCCTCGCGGGTGGTGGCGGAGATGAGGTGGCCCTCGGGATCATTCCAGGACGACTTACGGCGAGAGCCTTGGTGCTTAATCAAAATGTGCGAAGCCCTAACCTTCTCGGACGAGGGCGTCTTGGTCCTCTTACTACTTCCATGCTTGTGCTTGTCGTGGTGGTGGTGATGGTGGTGGTCGGCTGACGTCTTCCGCTTCCGATTGAAGTCAATTTTCTCCGATCGGGGGGTTTCCACTAGTTCGTCGGAGCAACGGCGGTTCATATAGACGGTGATCTGATCCGAGAATGGCCGTTGATATTATGGCCTTGCGGGCAGTCGGACGGGGTTGCCGTATATTCTTCGGACTGCCTCTTCAATCACTTGTGAATCGATAATTGGCTGCGGCGGTGAGGGTATTTCTGCGTGTCCTTCGGGCCGTATAGGGGTTGGTGCTGGTTTGCCCAATTTGACAGAGTTGGCCCCCTCAGAGCCCGTGGATCTTTTAAGGCCCTTTCCGTAGCTGATGATGCATCCAGAGGTAGTGGACGTGGTGGATCTACATTCCTTATCGCCCTCGGAGGTAGCGTCGTTGTGAGGGCTACTTTCTAGGTAAGTTTTAGAGTTGGATGTGCTCCCGAAGGTGGCAAAGTTGTCCTCGAGGTGACGTCTGGAGCTGGAAGTTCTCCCAAAGGTGGCGGGGATGTCCTCCAGACAGTGTCTGGAGCTAAAAGTGCTTCTGGAGGTGGCGACGATGTCCTTCGGGCAGTGTTAGGAGATAAAAGTTCTCCTGGAAGTGGCGGGGTTGTCTTCTGGGTGATGTCTTGAGTTGGAAGTGCCACCGGATGTACCTCCCAGGTCATCTGTGGTGCATTTAGAGCTGAAGTGCCGCCAGAGGTACCTCTTGGGTCATCCGTAGAGTTGGTGGTGGTCCTGAAGGATTCGGAGATGCCCTTTAAGTCATCTGTGGTGCCGCCAAAACCGGGAAGTTCCCAAAACCCTCTTATTTGAAGATCCGTAATCTAGAAACTTCCAGGACACGCCAGGAAAATTCATCCCGTGTTATTCTTCTTGCCTACCATACGGAGGCGGCAGCGATGGAGTCGTTATGTTGATCCGCACGCCACCGCAATGGCCGAAGGGGCTGATCCCCAGGGTCCAGAAGGAGGCGGAGCTCCCCCAGGATACACTCGAAGGTGGTGCGGTTGCCTTCCAAGTGATTTCGGAGGTCCGAGAAACTGCTGGAGGTTTCAAGGCCATTCCCCCCAAGCATCGACAGTCGCTCCTTGATTATTGCAATCCAAAATTAGTGGATACCTCCGATGCTTCCCGGAGATCTCTGTAATAGCGGTTGTACTGTAATAGCCTGCCTGGAGGACGTCACTACTTCAACCACGACTCATCTGAGTGCACCTTTGTTGCTGGTTCCTCGAGTCAGTGCGGTCACATTGCCGTGCCGAAATATTGCCGAATGGGATCCGATGCTGCCCTCAGTTTCACCCTCAACAGAGGGTTGTTTCCGGTAGGTTCGGTGTTGGTCGTGGGAGCTTCTTCTTTGTGGATCTCTTCTTCCCTCACCCATGCGAGTTCATTACGGATCATCGGCTTAATTGCGTTTGCAATATAATAGGATAACTAAGCGCGAACTGCTCATTCCACGCTAGGGCTGCTGATGACTCATCCTGCGCAGCTTCTTGGGTATTCTTTTGCGCCGAAATCTTGCCGGCGGCTTCCTCATCCTTCGACATCATTGGCGGAGAATCGAGCTTTTGCTTGTAGAGTTGCATAAACATAGCGAGACTCGTCAGTGTTCCAATGGGCGTGTCAATCTGTTGTCACTAAAATTTGTCCATGACAGCCCAAAAAGTTAACCCTATCGAAATCAACAAGAATTGGGTTCCCCGACCTAGTCAAGAAAATATCCGAGCTTGATCTTGCGATGGAAAATTAAAACTTAATACATTTGGGACCGAAAAATATTGAAAAATAAAATTTATGTAACAAGAAAGTAAAAAAAAAAAATATATGAATCTTGGTATGATCAATTGGGTCTAGAAAAATAATTAATTTAAATGCAAAAGAAAGCACTAAAAACAAATATAGAAGAAACAAAATGCTAAAATGTTTTATTCAAATGGAAAGTTGCAGGCAGTACGAAGAAATGCAAAGAAAATAAAGAACATAAAAGAAAAAAATATATATATACATCTGAAGATGAAAATGGGAATGTGTTGTTGCTGGACAGATGTGTGTCTTTGTGGTCTCTTTCTCTCCCTTTTATATCACAACTTCATCTATTATTTATATTGTTACTCAAATCTTTCTCCAACTTCTCCACTAATCCACTTTGTTTATCCACTTCCTCAATTTCCACGACCAACTTTGGACATGTCAACATATCTTAGACCAGGCCGGGGGGATTGGACTTTCTACGTAGACTAGATGGATTGATCCTTCGGATAAGGCTGCCGCTACTTATGGAGCTTGAAAATTGGGAGTAGCAGATGCATACGAAACATGTTAAACATGCATTAGAATCATTAAATATCATTTTATGTGCGAAAGACCTCTTCCAGCTCGGCTCAATACGTGGCAAAGGCAACAATGTTGAGTCAGAAGTGTAGGGTTCACAAGAATCGACCTAATGGTTGAAACGGAAGATATTCCGTTGTTGTTCGTTACTATCTTTATTTAATAAAGATTCATATTTATAACACACATACACAGCCCCGTCCGTATGCTGTCGAAAACAACGAAAGTCTTAAGAATGAAGGTCAGAAAGTATGGTTCTACAAACAGGACAAGTGGTGCTTTTACTCAACCATTGCTCTATGCATTGAGCATGGAAGCTGTGCTGACATTTAGCAATGCTTCTTAATTGCTCTTCAGGACAATAACCTTCCAAACATATCGAACATGCATTGAACTCTTCTGGATTTGTCCTAAGAACAACCAGCTCTGTGCACGCGTTGATCTTCGACTCGTCCAATCCTCTTGCCGCTGCCGGCGATGGCTGACCGTCCTCGCCGCTCGGGAAATCAAGAATGCCGTCGTTCCTGCTACTGGCTGCCATTTTTCTGGCCATCATCGCGCAAACGCCTACTACAATCGACATTGCTATTAAGGCCGGGAACAAGAAGGGCGACGTACTAAACTTAGCCCATGTTTTGCCGTTGGAGCCATCTGTCGTAATTAAGCAGCAATGCAGCATACTTATATATATATATAGATTTACAAAATCGGTTTAAAGCTTCTAGATGAAACGGTCGCAAATTTTACCTCCATCCCCAATTGGGCTATTTTTAACTCCATCCGAGGGCTGTTCGTTTGGCATTTCACAGGCGCTGCATACTCTATCGTTCCACGTGAGATAAAGATCGCTGAAGATACCCCCGAATTCGAATTGGCGCTGGAACATAACCGGGAGCATGTGGCTGCCGATCACCTGGCAACCGGTCCCAATAAGTTCTTCCGGCAAAAAGTAGGCGCTGGCAATGGTTGAATCCGTGGAGTTGCTGAGGCAGTCGATGGGGTAGATGTACTTGTTCAATATGTAGTCGTCGGAAGGGCACGTGTAGAATGTGTAGTTCTCATAGCCAATGGCGTCAAAAGGAGAATCAGAGAAGTCGAGGTTTTGCATCAGGCGTGCCATGAGGCAATTCCCGGGATCGAAGAGCTGTATGAATGACGTACCAATGAAGCGAACGTAGAAGGATCCGGCGTGGGGGAGGGCCAGCGTGGCAAATCCGTCGGAAGTGCAGGAGAGGTTGAAGTAGGAGCAATTGTTGTCTGTCTGTGTGTCTTGTAGTTTGAAAGGGTAGTTTATGGTGAGGTTTCCACAGGAAGAAGATGGGCAAGCATTGGCTGAGGTTGTGAGAAGACAAGTGATGAAGGCAAGGGCTCCAAGAATGGCTGCCATTGCCATTTTTGCAAGAATGAGGAAGAAAAAAAAAGTATCTTGTAACCAATGACATGGTATCTATATTTCTTTATCCAAAGAATGGGCAAGAAGACATTGTGGGATGATACAATCAAGAACAAGAGAGAATATAAAAGAATTTGTTGTAATTTCAGTAAATTGATTGGCTTGTTGTTTTCCTTAAGGATGTTTGGACATTGGAGATAGGCTAAGCTGTTGATTGGAGTTAAAACATATATATTTTTTTAAAATAATAATAATAATAATTTCAATCCATACAGCATATAAAAGATAAATATATAACATGTAAATAACATTAATAAAGCACATTCATGTGTTCATTAAGCACACATTTAGATCAATAGTGCTATATGCTATAAGACAATTATTATTTTGTATCAATATAAACCATTGTAGCTATATCCCATGCTGACTGTCATTATGTGCAGCCATGATGGACATAGTGATTTGGTTAGTTGATTTTAAGGATGTATTGAAAGCAATATATGAATGATATCTACTAGGTGGTGGATAGTCAATTATTTGTATCTACTAGATGTTCAAAAATGGAAGTAAAATTTGGTAATTACATTTTTAAGGACCAAGAGAAAACTAAACTCTGCTATAAGGTTATCTATCATTATCAGAAGCTGGTGTTCGATGGTAAGGCTAAAGTAACTTACAGCAGTTGTTTCTCTAGTTTAGGAATTTCCTGCAGTTGGGAGCCCCGCACAGGCAGGGTACCTTCACCTCCTCGCGATCGTCTGGATCAAACAAGTAGTCGTACCTGTCGACAAAGAAAAAAATGTTGAGGAGGGCAGCACGATGAATGAGAGAGAGTAGAGTCGTGAAGCAACATACGTTAGCTCGTCGCCAGCCTTAACGCTGGTTTTAGCTATGAGAACTATCCGGCTCTCTTCTTCGCCCATGCTCATGATCCTCGCGTAGCAGTTGGGCGTGCACTGCAGCAAATCACAAATTTATTAAGCAGTGCAGTGGCAAAACACTTTTGATCCAACAGCCGTGTTTGATACACAAGTCAAATAGGGGCGTAAATAAGGCATACCGAATGGTTGATCAAGCGAGCTATGTTTCCCTTGTTAGTAGCATCAATTACGACTTCCTCGCTGATTTTGAAAAGCTGCATATTTGATCATTTTGGATTATTGAAACATACACTCGGGTAGAAAAAGGGGGAAAAGGGTAATGGAGAAGTCACTGACATAGCAATCTTTGCCCTCTGATCGATAGGATGCTTCCCTTAGATCGGCTATACTGCGTCTAACCTGTTCACCTCGATATTCAACCACCTGGAGAAGCATTGAAATTTAATGTGATAAGTGACTGCTGACCTGTTTCATATACAGCTGGAATCAAAATCAGATTTAAAGATATTACCATCTCTCCTCCTTTAATGTTTCTCCGGGCAAAGAGACCCCATCCATGTATTCTTGATTTACCAAAACAAATTCGATAAATTTCTGTTTTCTGAACCATTGACCGAGTACGATTTGTTAAAAAGAAATAAAAGGTATGACATAATATCGAGCTGTAGGGACTAAAGTGATAAAACATGAGAATTATAATAATAATACTAATATGAACCATGAGGAAAAATGATTATTTACCTTTAAATTCTCGAGCCTTTCTATGAAATTTGAGAAATCTTTTGCCTTGCCAGTGTCCTTAACAAGGGCACAGAAACAGGAAAGCAAATAAGTCAAACCAGTGATGACAAGAATGAATTTTTTCTGCGGCAATATAGTTTTCGCCAGAACAGAATGCGTGAGAAGGAAATTAGTTACCACAATATGCGAATTTAATTTGTCTATGTCAGCTAGAGAGTGGTGAATAGGCCCCATCAAGCGGTGGCATGCTGACTCTCCTCCAGTGCGCTAATCAAATAAGATAAAGAAATATAGTGAAAAAAAATTCGCCCCATTATTACAAGCATCTAGACACATTTTTTTCATGAAAAACTAAAGGTTAGATAAGTTATATAAAATAAGCACACCATTAAAGCTACCTTCACGCTCGATTGTTTATAGATGCGGCACCTTGCACTAGACATTTCTTCTAATTCATTTGTATCTTCAGCAGGACTCAAAGCTAAACACCCGACATTCCCTGACGATATGAGCCTCGAGCCTCTTGAGCATTGCTCTTGATATTGGCTTTGGAGCAAACTTCGGTTAGAAAATACTCCTTGTGGAGTCTGAATCACCAGTACATTCTCCATGCTAGGGGGCCTGAGAAAGAAACACCAGGAACATAAAAATGTATAGAAGCTTTTATCTCAAAGAGTGTCATAAAACAAATAACAAACAGAAAGGCGATAATGCCGAATTTATTGTGATTTTGCAGGTCTCAGGTTCAAACTTTAGCTATTATTTGCACCTCCGTGGGTGGGGTGTAAGACTGTCTAGCTCTCTTCCAGTGGGTTAATTATGACATGGATCCCCAGCAGGTGTTATTCGATTAACTTCATATAAAATGTTGATAATGTAATTCTAGTAAATTTCTAAGCTAACCAAATATGAATTCAAAAGTTATTACCAACTCCGAAAATAAAACATAACCAACACTTACAGCAAAGATCTATCTGATGCGTGTGCGACATGCTTCTGTGTGGATGCATGCAAGATTATAGAGGCATAGGTGCCTGGGTGCGAATACAGGTGTACTAAAAGAACACGTGTATTTTTTATTTAGAAAAAAAAACAAAAGTGAATCCACTATATGAGTGAGAATATGTGTCTAGATAGGAAATGAAGACGTGGTATAGTGTCATACCTGTGAACTGCACAATATGATATCCATTTTGTAATCTGAACTCCATTCTTCTCAGAGCAATGCAGCTGAAATCAAGCATCAAAATTACCCAACGCACTTAGTCATGTTAAAAATAACTACAATAATAATAAAAAATAAAATAAAATAAAAAACCAGAAATCAGACAACTGTTGTTAGTGGCCCTAGTAAACAGAGCATTGAGCATTCCTATTACATTTTATTTGAACCTTGCTCTCAAAGATCAAAAGAAAATTACCAACCAGCTAGAAGAAAACTAAAAATTTCAAAATTATGTATATTCGATAGAATACATGTCTTACACAATAAACAAATTCAAACTCACATTTATTTGTATAGAAACCACTCCTTGAAGGATTTAATAAGCCACTCTCACACTAAATAACATTTCCATAACTGGGGAATCAATGACTTTCTTGAAGCGAAGTTCTTTTGCTAAAACAGCATTCACTAAGAATGTCTTATTGAATGGATTATTCTATCTTTTGAATCATAGTTGTCAATAGCGCGCTATAACAATAGCGGCGTAGCGTAGCGGAAAGATACTTTTTTGCTACAGCCGCTCCGCAATTCCACGTTTACGCAATAATGGCGTAGCGGCCTGTAACGGCACTCCGCTGCTACACCACTATTATAGCTCATTGAGTTATTTTTTAACACGTAAATAATTAAAATCTAACTTTAATTTATAAAATGTATTCTTTTTTATTATAATAACATTTATCTTAAATTTTAACTAAATTTTTAGATTCATTCTAAAATAAATAAACAAATCAGAAAGCCAAAAGTTGCAAATTTTGGTTTGTATCAAATATGACCAAAATTTGTTAGATCGTTATGGTAGCAATAATGTGATTGGTCCTATTGTGACAATATTGATGATTCCAATTAATGGTTAATTAAAAAAGTTGATAATTGCGGAGGATGAGTTAGTCTTTTGACAATAATAATTTGACTAGGGGAGTTGTTGATGCTACTTGAACTAACGGGCCTACTATAAGTACTTCTAACTCTAAAAAGAGAAATGATATATGTAAGGTAACTAACATATAATAGAATAAATGGATGAGAATTAAAAAGAGAAGGAATAATATATAGGCAAGAGTAAAGAGTAATTAAACAGCCAGGATGACGAAAGGAAGAAAATTCTTTATCAAATTTGGATCGAATTAGCTTTGATATATATATACACAATAGTGATCTAATTGTTTTGAATGATAATTATGAGAATAATTTATAGGTTTTTCTTATATATTTTTTGTTGTAAATTTGTATATATAATAATTTATATATTTTTTTAAAATATTTAAACAGCAGTCATACTATAGCATTTTAGATGTTAACCGCTATGCACTGCTATCCATGATTGACAACTATGTTTTGAATATTAATAATGTTGGTTGGTGACTAGTTGTCAATAGAACTCTATAACACACTAATTGCAGTGTAGCAAACAATGCGGCAGTCTGTCGCTACGTGATGCTGCTTTTACGCAATAGCAACAAAGCGGCTTTTGGCTGTACGGAGCAAAGCACCTCTTAAATTAAGTAATATAATCTTTATTATAACTAGGTTTAAATTTTACAATATAATTATTATATTTGTATTTGGTAAATATAGATTTTATAATATTATAATATACTATAGCTACTTTTAGGGAAAAAATATTGTATAAGATGACAAATCAGAAGAAATTAATGAAAATGAAGATGGAGATAAGGAAGAATATTCATACAAGGGTAGTATTGGGGAGGTAAAGATAGGAAGAAAATTATTTATCATATTTTGAAATTGATTAACTTTGATTATTTATTTATTAAAGTAGTAATGATTTAATTGTTTTTTCTTATATAATTATTTATGAAAAATGATCATATATTGGTTTAAATTTTAGTCATGAGATTAAATTTATATATTTGTTACACATTTTAATTGTAGTTTGTATATATAATCAGTTTTATATGTATATTCTTAAATTTTAAAATAGCAATGGCCACGCTATCCCCTATAGTATTTTAGAGGTTGAATGCTATGTAATCTATCCGAGATTGATAACTATGGTTCCTCAAGAGGTCATTGCCCAGAGAACTCCAATTGACTAAAGATCCAACCTACCAGGACTTCAAATATATGAATGGCTACAACATGGCAAAGTGACCATAAAAGAAGCAACAGAAGTTAACTTACCTCCATGCAATATCCAGCACGAGAAGCACATGTAGCATGAAAGTAGGTGACACACTTGTAACACTGCATGCAAGATCCATGTATCTGCTTGCAAATAACACATGCCTGCATGTTGAATATTTGTTAAATTCAACCGTCATTTAGTTAGTTTGGCCATGAATCTAAAACAAACCACAGATATGTCAATTTTCTTAACAGCCATACCTTTGTGAACGAACTAGGTGGAATTCTGAAAAGTCCAACAGCAGGCTCCATATTCTCTGCATTAGAGAAAGCAACTTCTGGCCTAAACCACGCACAAGTAACATGAACCCATAAAGGTTCAATATCCGTTGGTTTTAATGCACCCCCTGAAGATGCAGTTTACAATTAGAAGAAATGAAAAATATAAAACCACAAATAATTAAGAGAAATTCTACATTTGCCATGCCTTTCACAGGACATAGGCAACATTCTCTCTCAATCTCTGGGGTTTCACAAGCTCGACAAACCCATGAAGCAAAATCCTGAGTTTTCCTAGCTCCATAGCATTCTTGATGTACAGCAATTTGACATCTAACCACAAAATAAATTATTTGTATCAAGCTCAAAGTGCTTCAATTTAATCGTTATGAGCTGCCACCCAACTGTAATTGTAGTTGCTTAACCTGTTACATATTATTATCTTGTTGTAGTCCCAGTCTTCAACCCATCTACAAATTGCACATCGTTCTGTGGTCCATGTTGCATCGACAGGATCATATTTTTCTGTAAAAGAGAGATTGTAAAAAGTGAATTGCCTCACATGTCCTACAAAAGCTAACACAGAACTGAGAAACTCAGGTGTGATTTCGATGAGACCAAACTACGACCTTTAAGAAAAGCTAAAAGCTGATGCTTATCCAACCGCATATGATTGTAGGCATGCACATTATACTCTTGCATCTGTAAGCACACAGCTGTTAGTAGATTGGAGGATACAAATCGAGTAACATATACACTACTGGTTCGATATACAAAAGGGAGTTATAGTCAAAAGCATCACAGGAAGACCCAAGATAATGCACTCTATCTACAATTACAGCAAACACCAAAGAATCACATGCCAAATTACAGGGATCGCTTCATATTATTTTATTTTCTCTTTCTTCTTTTCAACATGTTCTGGTTGGTTCCAAGTCAACTTTATTAGTAAAACAATATAGTGGATCATATGATAAATGATGGACGGAGAAGTAAGAAACAAACCCATTTTTCCAGTGATGCATTAGTGGCCTTCACTTTCACACTATGCTTCCATTTTTTTGCTCTAGACCCCGTATGCCGTTCCCACTCACTGAGCCCATATTTCTTTGCATGGCATGTACCACAAATACACTGAACCCTGAAAAAGGGGGAGGGAAAAATCAATGAACCGCCTTGAAAATCCATGCAAGTTACTTTCATCAATCATTGGGGCAACAGAAAATTGAAGGTGGCCAAAAACTTGTTGTCATTTACATCATGTTGTTTCTAATGCATGGAGGATGAAAAATGTGTATATATATAACAGTTTCATCTTCCTATCAATTTAAACTTTCATGCTAAGAAGTCTAACATGGCAAAGAAACAGGAGGTCCCATTGTCAATTCCTGATCACAACCATATATGATATATTGGTCAAGTAATAAGGATTGTTGTTTTTCTAAAGATAGTGCCTACATGCTTTAAAGGAATTAAATATAAACTGATACATCTAGGAGTCAATTTAAGGTTTACGATAGTCAACTGGAAACTGATAAGAAAAGCTGATATTTACATTAGCATATTACTAAAAACGCAAAAACCTAAGGAACATCTATATGATTTACAGAAAGAAAAACCATAAACGCAGGAAAAATTATAGTTGTAAATAGCGTAGGATGGCTCATGGCTTGTGTCATGTGAGAGGGCACAGGGCGCACTAAGTATTAATACATTTTTAATATACATGCTTTTCTTTTGAAGCCGCTTTCTTTCCTAACATTTCTTTTTTCTTACTTTCAACTATAAGCTTGCTCGAATTTTTTCTATCTGCCATGGATAGAATTAATACATTTTTAATATACATAGTACACATGCATTGCAAGAAGAGGAAGAGGATATGCACTAAACAAGAGGGTAGAGGGCACAAGTAGGAGAGAGTCAAACAAAAGACTGCCCTGTTTTTAATTATATAACAAAATAAAATCCTAATTAACCCTAATAAATGAAAATATATACGAATAAAACTACTACGCCATAGGTGGCTCGCTCTAACAAATGGCACAATTTAAAAAACAAAATAAACCCTAATAACCTAATAAATGATAAATACATATAAATAAAACTGTGCGTATCTTGCTTAACAAATGGCGAAAAGGCTGCACCATTTATGACAGTGGAGATAGGAACATCATCAGAGTATACTAAACTAAATAATGAAAATGGAAATCCCTCCCCTCATGAAGAACTTACAAATGGAGACTTGGAAAGTAAATCCCTTCCATGCCATTGCAGATCACCGTTATCTTATCAGGTGGCACTTTGCTTCCAAGATTTTCATCAGGTCTGGTAGAGATCAATGTAGATACAAATTCACCATACAATTATATTCTCAAGAAAGAGATTTTTGATTTTCTTTTTACTCTAACAAAACTTAAACACTTGTAACAATTTAGCACCTAATATATACTTCTAGTTTATCCAAACCCAACGATTCGGATGCTGGCTTTGCTTCACATTCAGGGCAAAAGTACTCCAAATTTGCCAGATCCTACAAACCATGTGAAAAATGCGACATTTATTACTAGGCTCCAAGAAAAGAAGTTAGTAATAGTACAAAGTTCCTCTCAATACAATATTTACAGCATACCTTCAAAAGCTTAGGAGAAATGTTGGCACAGCGAGAATGGACCCAAACATCACAACCATCACAACAGATCTAAACCAAAAATTTGGTAAAGTAAAATAACCAATGCCTGTATGCTAGTGGAAAACACTCCAGAATACGATAAAAAATGCAGGTTATCTCACCCAACTGCCGCCTTCAGAATGCTGCGAATTTTTATTGCAAATGCGACAGCATTTTTTTGATTTTCGCAACTACAAGATTATCATTTTTGGATTAAAACAAAGAGTAATAATAGCTAGATATAAAATAAAATAAAATAGAAAGCACCGTTAACCTTAATGCAATGTTCACAGAGAGAATGAGAATTAGCTCTTGCATCAGTCACTTTTTTGATCATTTTGCATGGAAACATCAGGCCACAGCTGTCACAGACTTCAGTACTTTTACTTTTATCAATTATATTCTGCACTATGAACAATATTGATTTTTGTGAGATTGAGATATTGCTTGAAACAACTGATCAGCAGCGCATTTTACAGGACAAGAATGGATAAGACAGCTAAATAATATACAGCCATCTGTCATCTGTTCAGAAACTCCCTTCTAACTGCACTGACATAACGAAATCGGGATAATTTTATTACAGAAACTTTTAGGATAAGAAACCCTATCGGTAGCACTTTGCAATAAATGTAACGGAATAATTCTAAAGTAGAAAATATGGTCAAAATATTTTGTCCAATGGTGAGGTAAAAGAATTTAAGAGCCTCAAGAATACGGCAAGTATGACACTGACACATTTTCCAACATCGCAGGACCAGTCATCCAGTTCAAACTTGCCTGTGAGATATTGTATTCCGACTCCTGACTTGAACCAGTTGTCTCTTTTACACTGTCATCATTTTTCACAGGTGATGCCTCCTGCTCGGCTTCCATGGCTGAATTTCCATGGCCATTTGCTGCTAACATTGCCTCATTCACAGCCGAATGAAAGTCAGCTAGTTTGCTACCATACAATTTGGTCTGCCCCTGAAACCTATACACCAGATAAATTAGGTAGGTTCTAGAACTGAAATTTTTCGAAACCAACCAAATATTAACCTTTCAATGTACTCAAGAAACGGAAAAACCATTCCAGCTTTTATCCATGCGTAATCCTGCAAACACGTTTATACTCCAATAACATTACCAATTATAATTAAAAAAATAAATCTTTCTCCAAATATTTTACATGACATAAAGAGCAGAAGCATCCACCAAGACTACACAAGCATATCCATTTTGCAGGAACTGTTCATTTCATAAGAACCACAAACTTTGAAATAGCATCCAAGAGCAAAATATGGCTATTGCACCAGCATTAGCTGCCTGTAGCATCTAAAATTTTGCATAAACATCATAAAGAATTATAATTTTATAAAGAAAAATTAGGAAATTACCCTTAGTCCTCTCCTGGAGTACCCATAGAACATCACACAAAGGGTGCTCGAAACACGAGCTTTCAATACCGTCTCAGGAGCTTGCCAAACTGGGTCGATAACAACAGCAGGCCAAGCAGGGAAATTCTTGCCGCATTTCGCCCACACTTTATCACCAACTGAAAAATCAGTAAGTTGGTAAAAATCTGCCTTCTTTTGAACAACTTTCTCCTCCACAGGCCTCTTCAGCTCTGCACTTCCATCCATCTTTCCACCATTTTCCACTAAGGGAGAAACACAAGAACTGCCCCCTTCATTAACTGATGTCAGAGAACTTAGTGAGCTAGAGTAAGGCGGCGCTACGGCTACGTTTTTCAATCTAGGTTCACTTTGCTGTGATTTCTTAACCAAGTATATGTCATCATAAGACGACGATGAATCCTCTCGTTTCACAGTGTTAATATCCTGAGCGCCCAATTCATCCTTATCAGGTAAGCTGCCAGTCCTTTCTTTCTTCCACGGGGGCATAATCGAGTCGCTAAATTTCACGGGAAGTACCTGCGTTCGGCCTCGGGAGGATTTCAACAATGGCTGCTGTTCCTTCTTGGCATCCCTCTGAGAAGCGGTCTTCGCCTTGCCAGTGGTGCATGGTACGGAAAAATCAACGTCGTTCCCCTGTAATTGATTCCCTGGAACTGTTAGACATTGATCAGTCGTCCTCTTCATCTTCTTGCAATTCACAGGGACGGAGAATGATTCTTCAGCGTCATCGCCGCCAGTGATTTCTACTTTCTCGTTTGAACAACGTTTGAGTTTCGGCATTTGAGAATTGCTCGGCCGTTTCCCAATCATCTCCACATCATCAATCGGATTCGGCCATTGGAAAGCCCAAAAGCCAGAAACCCTAATTCCTGATTAACAAAAAAAGATATGGGGATCCTTCCAGAAACCACAACTCTCGACGAAATCGAAAACACAATTTACCCTAGAATTTGGTTCATTTTCCCTCCCCACTGTAATGGTATCAAAGAAAATCAATCTTGGAAATGGTTGAAGGAAGCAAATGAAGGGGAGGGGAAGGATGATAAATCTTGGAGAATCAAATAAGATTAAAAGAAGAAAGGGAAATGGAATGCATTAATTGCAGATTATAAACCACCCCCAGAAATTAGCAGCGGGATGCTATTGCTGTCTGCTATTTGCTCTATTTGCTATTTGCATTGTGTGTATATCTGGACTGGACTGACGAAAAAGCATAGGTTTAAGGAGTACACCAATTTTTTATTATTTTTTTTTAAATCAATTTTGTTTCCCTTATAAATAAAATTTATATATTCTAATATAAAAATTAATCAATTTTAATTTCATTATAAATAATTTCAATCAATTTTTTTCTGTTAAAAAAACTAAAAGAAATAGTTGACGTGATGTAACGGGTTGACGTGGCAGCTGACTTAAATAAAATTTATTTATTGTTCTCTCTCAGTATTTATCTAGTGCTAGAATGTGATTTCCTCCCATTTAAATATATCAAATGGGTTTTGGATTGATTACATCGGTTGTGGCTACCAATCATTTGGAGTGGGATTTAGCCTATTGTTTGTGTTTTAATCTATGGATTGATTTTAGGTTCGAAACTTATTCTTGTAGTCGGTTATCTTCCATATTAATTACATTCTCTGCATTATCCTTTCTTCTTTCTCCTCCCTTCTTTCAAATCGGGTCTTTGGAGTGATCCATCAGTTCGTGACTTCCAATCCTTTGCGGTGGGAGTCTATTGTTTGAGTTTTAACTATGGTTTTGATTTCAACTCCGAAACTTATTATCATGGTTAGTTATCATCCATATTAGTTCACCTTCTTTGCATTATCCTTATTTCTTTATTCTCTCTTATTTTCACCAATACTCCGAACTATTGGTTCTCTATTGAACTTTGTGGCTAAGGAAATTATTATGGACATAATTATACGCAGTTCGACCGTGTACGGGAGCTGGTGGCAGCACCGGTGGCTTCTTCTCCGGTGCGGCAGGCGCAGGCGGTGGCCTATGCTCCTCTTTTTTTTCCTTTCTTCTTCGGTGCAGCTGGCGCAGGCGGTGGCTCCTCTTTTTTTCCTTTCTTCTCCGGCGAGGTGGTAGCGGCAGAAGCTAGTATGGTGGGGGCGGTTTCGGAATCTTCTCTAGTTGTGGTGGCCGCGGCGCTCTACTGGGGTCGGCGGGGGCACTGGAGTATTATATATAATATGTATTTTAAAAAAATTAAAATTTTTCTCAAATTTTCGAGGCTATTAGTATATTATATATTTTTTTTAAATAGAAAATTTCTAAATTTTTTTCGGAATTTTTGAGGCTATTTTCATTAGTCTCGAAATTTCCGAAGCTATATTGTCTTGGAATTTCCGAAGTATTTCCGAAGCATCTTGCTTCAAAAATTTTGAGATTATCCGAAATAGTTTTGAAATTCCAATACTATACAAACAACCGCGAAAAATCAGTCACAAGACAGTTTTCGAGACTATGTCCGAGGCTAATGAAAAATAGGTTCGGACACAATTTATTTTCCGAAGCAATTTTCCGAGTGAAAACACCAATTTTTTTGGTAATGATAGTGGACTATATATCTCTTTTCTTTATTAAATAAATTTTTGCTTAGTAATATATATAATACACTTATAAAAAATCGTGATTATTGTACGAATTCAGGGCGAAAGCATGCGGGAAGCTCACTTTCGGGCAAAGTTCACTTTCTCCCACACTTAACAGAATATATCACGCATTTTACATAATTATTTATATATATATATATATATTTTTTTTTTTTTTAATACAAACAATAAATATTTTTTTTAATTTTTTTATGTTTATATCTATTAGCAGTGATCGAACCAGTAGTAAAAGTCTGGGGTCAAAATCTATTTTTTTTTTATGAATTCAATATTTTTTTATTCACTAGTACACCCTGGCAAAAAAAATTAAAAAATTTAAATTTTAGAAAAAATTTCAACAAAATTATACATAAAGTTTAATACTTTTTTATTATAAAAAATAAAATTTAAAGACTAAAAGTATAAATCAATAAAATTTTATAAGTTTTTACATTACAAAATAAAAAAAAATTAAGAGGGGCAAATTACTATAAAAATACATAATTTTATTATTTTTTACATAAAAAAATACATATATTTTGAGGGTTGGGGTCAACTGATCCTTAAGCCCCGTTTAGTTCTGCCCCAGTCTATAACTAAATATATATATATATATATATATTTTATTTTAACTTTAATTGTATTTTTATTTATTTTTAGTTAGTATATTTAATTTTGTCTTTGATTTTCTTATTAATTGTTTTATATGATAATATATAACATATTTAAAGTATTTATAATTCTTATGTATGCATTTATGTTTTATTTTTTTGAATATTTATTATTTATAATTAGTGTATTAAATAAATTTATATTTGTATTTGTATCTATTTTTTGATATATATGGTATTGTTACATATGATATTTATATTATAATAAAACTAAATTACATATGATATTTATATTATAATAAAACTAAATTATTTTTAATAGTCAATGAGTGAATGTGTTGGGGTTTGAGTTTTTAGTTTGGATTTTAAATTGTATAAAATAAAATTAAATTTCCGGATAAGTTATAAAATATAGTATATATTTAATTCAATATACTTATAATAGAATTTTTATTCAATAATATAGCTATAAAATCATTATATACTGCTGAGCCCTAAATCCGATTGAAGGTCTTGGCCCAATTTTGAGAGTTGCCCACTAGGAAATTATTATGGACATTATTATATGCGGTTGGGCCGTTTCAGCAGCGGGGGCCGATTTTTTTTGGAATTTTTGAGTTTCAAAGGAAATTTATTGTGAATCATCATTTTTATTGTTTTTCTTGCAAATTTATTTAGTCACTTATCTAATTTTGGAGCTTAAAGATCCACTATCTCAAGCCCATTAAATAAAATTTGAATTTGCTTATTTGAACTTTATTTTATTTTGTTGCAAAAACCTCATCAATATATACATTACGATAAATTATTTCAAGTTAGTTGTGTTTATTTAGAATTTTTTTAGATTTTTTATTATTTATTAAAAATCTTTCTCTAATATTGTCAAATCGAATATTAATTTTTATTTTTAATATTATACTAAAATTTAATTTTAAATAAAAAAATCATATCTATCACTTATTTATATTCTATCTAATAATTATTTAAAATTTAAAATTTTAATGATTTAAACTCAAATTCAAAATACAAATTCCAAACCCAACCCGAAACAATAATTATGAATAAAAAATTTAAAAAATAAAACATAAATATATATGAATTATATAAATATTTTAAATATATTAAAATTTGTCACATGAAATAATTACTAAACAAATAAAGACAATAATTAATCATGTTAGCCACAATAATTCATTTTCCTCTTCCTAGCTGGAGGACTTTTTTGACCAGGTTTTTGAGGTAATTTTATTTAAATGGCTTGTTTCTACTTCTGAATCATGTATTAACACCTGAAATTTCGAAGAAAAGAAAAAAAAAAACTAACATGATTGTTGATGCAATTTTTCAATAATAAAAAATAAAATTCGAAAATAGAAATTATCTTCGAATTTGATAAAATAAATGCCTGAGTTGACATCGTACGGTACATAAATAAAATAGGAAAAATAAATACTACAGACTAAAAAGTAAATGGTGATCCCCAAAAGAAATTTAACTGAATTTGATGTCGATTGAAGATGGTTTCTCTAGGTCATGATCAGACCTATTTAAACCTTATGTCAACCGTCACAACCAGATCGTGCCTTTGTATCCGCTTGCCAGTTGTAACTTCTTCTAACCGTCTTAGAAGTGCTTCTCATCCACTACTATGTTTCTTCTTGCCCGCCTTCCACTTGTCCGATCCGCTCGCCGGTTGTAACTTCTCTCAACCGTCTTAGAACTGCTTTTCGCCGACCGGCACACTTGCTGCTACGTCTCCTCTTGTCCGTTTTCCACTCGTCCGACCTCCGTGTCCGTTATCTCATCTTTCTTCGCCCGACCTCCTTTTGACCGACCTCCGTATCGGTCGTCTCATCTTTCTTCGCCCGACCTTATCTTGTCCGACCTCCGTGTCTGCCATCTCATCTTTTTTCGCCCGACCTTATCTTTTGACCGACCTCAGTATCGGCCATCTCATCTTTCTTCGCCCGACCTTATCTTGTCCGACCTCCGTATCGGCCCTTATCTTTCTTCGCCCGTCTTCCTTTTGCCCGACCTGTATGTCACGGTTTTCTCCCGAGGAAACATTTCTCTTAATAGCGCTTGGACTTATATTTGGACCCCCTTTTTTAAGGTCCTACTACTATTAACAGACCCATTAGACTCTACACCAATCCTTAGCCCAATTTAATAGGCCCATTCTCGAAAACCCTACATATTGTTTTTTTCTTGCTCAACAACTTGCCTCCTCCTGCCCGACTCCTAAACGTCAATTCTCGGACTGCGTGAGATGTGACGTTTAGGGGTTTGTAACACAGTGCTATCATTATATTGTTTTATGTCACCTCGCGGAGTTTATGTAAACCCTTCTCTTACTCTTCTATACTCACGCATTCAAAATCCTGAAACCCTCTTTTCTCTTCCTAGCGATCATCTTCCACAAACCCCTGCTCCTTCGATCTCGTTATTTCCTTTGAAAATGACCAATCAGTATGTTCCCGCTCTCCCTTTTTGACGGAACTGACCCCTCGGTGCCATTTGTGGCTTCGAGGGTTCTCACCCCCACCGTTCGACCTTATTGCACCACCAATGAGGATGCAGATCGTATGAAATCTGTTATCTCTCAAGTTTCACCGATAATCATCAACAATGCTGCGTTTAAGCCGGAACGTCTGCTAGACAACATCAGGACCCACCTTACCGATCCTAAAGACGCCTATCGTAAATGGCACGCAAGACTTCTCTCTCATTTTGAAACGCAGTGGAGAAGGCAAGATATTGACAAAGCCATCTTCCTTTCGACTCAGCCCCTTCATCTTCACGACAAAGCTTTGCTAGCAATGGCGGCCTTCTGGCATTCCCAGATGGGCGTCTTCTTCCTCCCTGCTGGCCTTATTGGCCCGACCCTGATGGACGTGGCCATCATTGCCCATTTGCCTATAGTGGGTGATGATCCCGTTCTGGTTTCTTTTGAAGGTCGGGAGCCTTCACCCGACCACGCTGGTTGGGCCCTCGCTAAACTCCTTGAAAAAGGGATGAGCTGGACCAGTTTTGTTACCAGATTCTTGGGTGAAGAGGGCACCCCTGTATCTGAGCTGGAACACATTTTCTATTCCTTATGCTTTTATGTAAATTCAAAGTTGGATATTTAGTTGGTTTTTTCTTTCTTTACAGATATATCATTCTCTCCCCTTCCAAACTCGTCATTTCTTCCCAGGTCGACCTGGCCATTCACCTGGCCAGCGGCCAATTTTTCTCTTTGGGAACCTTATTTTTGGCTAACCTTTTTGAGGTTTTAACCCGAGTAACCACCTGTCTGACTGATACTAAGAGAGCAGACACAGCTGCTTTGAGACCATTTTGGTTCCTGGAACTGTGGCTTCGCCTATATTTCCCGACCGCCTTCTTCGGCCGACTACCTATTGCCCCGAACCCTCAAAGGTCGATTGGTCTCGCCCTCGCCAAATTAACCCCTAGTTCCTCTAATCTTTATCCGTCCGACCCTGTCATCACCCAAATCTTGACTGAAGACCATAGCAATTCTCGTTTTTATGTATATGAAACTCTTGTACAATATACTACTGAGCTTTTTTGGTTTTACCCCGACACACCATATCCCCGAGCTTATCCCGATCCCCATCCGACCTATCCCTTTTCCTGGGATTCCGCCATGAAGCCCCGATCTCTATTTTCCAGTAAAAGGTCGGACAAGAAAAACCACATATCATTTTATACTTTTAACTATCAGCCCCAATTCTTGGCCCGACAATTCGGTTGCTGCAGGGTCTGCCGGGACCACTAGCCCGACCACACCTTATACCTCAAAACCCAGAAGGGATGGTGATTCCCGAGCTTATCCCGACCTACCTTTCCCAACTCACTGCCTACATTACTTCCAACTCTTATTTACCTTTCCGCCCTAAACCTTCGTCGGCTGAGGCCTTTCCTACCTGGTGGTCGGCTACTTGGTCTGTAATTGCTCCTCCAACCGACCAGCTAGTTAGGACACTTGTCCCGCCCCCATCCTTGGCGCTGGGTTCCCTTCGATTAGCCGCTACTCCAAGAAGGAAAAGGCAGGCGCTTGCCGCAGACGGGTCCGGAACAAAAAAAAGAAGTAGAAGGCCGTCCTTGTCATCGATAGACAGGCCATCAAGGAGTACCTCACGTCTCTGCCAGTGGATACAAGTGGACTGCCAAAGTACTTGAGAGAGCAATTTGGTAAGTTCTTTTCATATCTTCCTTTCAGTATATGTCCTTTTAACCTTAATGGTTCCCATTCCAGAGGATCCTTCATTGCCACCGACCACAGCCCCGACCGCCTTTCAGCCGATCGAGACTCAGCCGACCATCATTCTAGATTCTTCCCAGCCAGCCGCAGTCCAACCAACCGATCCTCAACCGACCGTGGCTCAAACGACTATTACTCTGACTTCCTCTCAATCGGCTGCGGTCCCGACTGCAATCCAACCGACTTCTACTCTGTCCGCAGAGTTGCCAGTGACCCGTCGGAGAGAGGACCGGACGGGGAGGCAGCTATCCTTATCAACTTCTACCCCGACCACCATCCAACCGACTGCCGCAACACCGACTCTGGTTGAGCAACCGACTGTCCAGTGTCCGCTGGCTGAGGTAAGTTATTTCTTTAAACCCTTTCAAGGAAAATACTTCTCAATTCTTTACTAACTTTGACTCTCCTTTCTATAGGACCATCCCAGCGCTCCACCAGCCATCCCTCAACCGACTCTTCTTCCTGCAGAATAAGAGTTGCCAATGATCCGTCGGCCAGAGGAACCGTCGGGGAGGTAGACCTCTCCTCCGATTTTGCCTTCGCCTGCCCCGCAACCATCACAGGTAGTTGCTAAGATATTTTCATATGGTTTTTTTATAAATTTCTGACTCGTGCATTATTATTTCAATTAGGAAACCGATGCGGTTGCGGTGGTGCCCGAACCCGACCAGGTCGTGGAACTGCCCGACCCAGTCGTGGCACCACCCGACCACGCTGTTGCGCTGCCCTTGCAGCCCGCCGCCCAACCTATGGGAGAGGATCCTTTGGTTGCTCTCCAACCAGTCCAACCGATCCTGCCGCCTCACGACATAGAGGAGATCTCTTCCTCGCAATCAGGCGAGGCTTCGGTTAATTTTGCCCCAAGGGATTCGGTTAGTATTCTCTCTCATCCATTTCCTGATTTTTACTTCATCTTCCGTGCTTAACATTCTTCCTTCTAGGGTATGGAATGGGCTGTCGCTCACCGTTTGCAACCGGGAGACGAGTCGGTTGCTGGCCCGATGACTCGTCGCGATACCCCTGCGGCGATCCAGTTCATGTCCCATTTTGAAGCCACGGCCGCTCTAGATCAGGTAAACTCTATCTTTATATTGTAATGAGTTCACCACATTCCTCCATACTTAACAATTTTGTTTCAGACCGCCCAAGAGATGAATGTATTGGCCCGAGTGAACCTTCCGACTCCAGCCAGATCCATCATTGCACGTTGCGCTGACCTGAGTTTGGCCGACCTCGAGGTCTTAGTTCAGGTCGCGATAGACTTGTTGGTGCAACCCACACTGGAGTTGGAAGCCCCTCCCGTCCTTGATCGGATGATGGCAAGGATCACCGAACTTCAAGCTGAACTACCTCTGATCCGGCCTCCATCATCCGAGGCCACATCATATTAACCGACCGCTGATCTAGCCAGTCTTGAGGCATCCTTGAAGAAGGTCGATTAGGATCTTAATCTTGCCAAGGCTACGCTGGAAGAACTCCGACAAGCGCGACAAATACTGGCGACTAAGATCTCCAATAAAACGGAAGAGCTCAGACGCCTTCAAGGACAATTGGAGTCCTTGGATGACAACATCCAGTAAGGGGGCCGCCTGGTGGAGGCACATTGCCAGAGCCAGATGAGTCTCTGTGAGCAACTCCAGACCAACATACGAATGAGACTCGTCAGGGGACACCAGGAGGCTTACCAGTGTCGGCGGGCCACACGGTCGGAGTTGAAGTGGGCCGACCTCCGGACTGCCCTCAGGGCCCTTCTTTCTTTGCAATTCTGATGTAATATGTACATAACTCCGAGACTTTGTCTATAGATGCATCCTACTTTTTAGAACACAGATCCTTGTTCTTTGCACTTTTACTAAGTCAGGAGTTAAACACCACAGGATTAAACACCATAGCGCCTATATATATTCCATTTTTTTTCTACTGCAAACATCATCAGTACCTACCATATCACCTTTGAGAATGGTTTCTCCTCGCATTCGCGTTCCTAATTCCAACTGGGAAGGTTCTTTGCAACCATTCCTTGTGGGAGAACACCCAATAGGTCATCATGCCGAAGACATGATACATGTACTCAAACAACTGGACTTTAAATTTAAATTCTCTGGCAGAGAAAAGAGAACCATACATCGCACAATTCGCCTAATGGAGCGTGTATCCACCAGCTATGAACCCTTTATTGACATACTTACCCGCATTTCCAATCTCTACCACCATTTAGATATGATAGACCATTATGTCTCGGCCATTCTCCCAGACCTTAGCTGGAACAACATTTTACATCAGCAAAGATCAACACTTTTTAGACTGCGTGTTCTTGTCGAACGAGAAAGCCAATCACTACAAGACATGAAAGTCTGTACCAAACATGATCTTCAAGAAATACAAGATCAATGGGATCGTTATCGTCTTAATCTAGACGACCTTCTGGATGAAGAACCTGAAATAGTTTCTGCGAGTTGGGATGAAACATCTGAACCAGAAGAAAATCATCCATGCGTCACCCTTTCGGATGATGATTAAAGAACCCTTTCCTATGGGTTCGAACCCTTAAAGGGGTTCCCAGATTTTGTAATAAGGATTAATGACAGTGTTCTGAAAAGGCAGGAAAATACCTTTTCAGATACTTAGCATTAATATTTCCATGTACCAATTTTCCTTCTTGGTTCATAATAATAAACGCTCCGTTGCCAATTACTTTGTGAATAATGAAAGGTCATTTCCAATTGGGGGACCATTTCCCCAACTGGTCCACCTTTTTATATGTGGGCAAAATTGTTTTCCACACCAGATCCCCTTCTGATAAAGTCTTTGAAGACACTCTTTTTCCATAATATTTTGCTCTGATCTTATTTTGTCTAAATGCTCGATCCAGAGCATTCAACCGACTAGTGTCTACCTCCTCCAATTTTTGCCACATTCCTTGTATATAAGCTTCATCAATAATTGTTGTTGTATTAACCACTCTGGGTGAAGATACAACAAATTCCGCTGGCAGAACAGCATCTTGCCCGAACGTTAATTGGTTTGGGGAGAATCCAGTAGAAGTATTTCTACTATTTTGGTGGGCCCACAATGCCTGAGACAGTAATGTGTGCCATTTCCTTGGATATCCCTCTACCATTTTCGGATGATGCCGATGACGATTTTATTTGCTGCTTCGGCCAACCCATTAGCTTGTGGATAATAAGGTGAAGAATAATACAATTTGATGTTGAACTCGGCCAAAAACTCAATAAATTTTTCCCCGATAAACATCAAACCCTGATCTGTTGTAAGGGTGTGGGGAATCCCAAACCGGCAGATAATATGATTAAGTATGAACTCAATCACCTCTTTCTGCGTCGCATTCTTCAAAGGGACTGCCTCTACCCACTTGGTGAAGTAATCAGTTGCTACCAAGATGAATGAATGCTGCTTTGATGATGCCGGATGAATTTTCCCTATTACATCCAACGCCCAGGCCTTGAATGGCCACGGCTTAACCATCGCATGGAGTTTTACTATCGGCAGATGATTTAATGGACCATGCCGCTGGCATTCTTGACACCCTTTAGCAAATCTGATACAATCATCAAATATCCTTGGCCAATAGAATCCCATACGATGAATAGCCCACCGCATGTGTAATCCTGCTCGGTGTGCTCCACAAATTCCACAATGAACTTCTTCCATCACTTTGATGGATTCTTCTGGCCCCAAACACCTCAATAATATTCCTTCGAAGGTTCTCTTGTATAGAACCCCTTCAATGAGTTGAAAGTATAATGCTCTCAATCGAACACCCACAGGAGTCGTGGAACTTGGTGATTCCAGATAAATCATAATTTCTGTTCTCCAATCAGTAACAGTATCGACACTACCGATACTTTGCTGACAGACATTCTGAGCCAGATTATCTGCTTATCGATTCTCTGGTACATGCTCAATAACCACCTCTGCAATTCTATATAATAGGTGATATACCAAATTTCGATATTGACGCAAATGAGAATAATTACAAGCGTACCGTCTTAATACTTGATTGATGACCAATTGAGAATCTCCACAAATTACAACGGACTGCGCTCCTTTAGCGATAAGTGCCTCCAGACCCAAAATCAGTGCTTCATATTCGGCAGAGTTATGAGTCATCTCCTCCATTTGAAGCTGCAAACTTATCTTGTGGGTTCTAGGTCCTTCTAATATAACTCCTACTCTCGACTTCCCTTTTGAACGAGAACCATCAAAAAACATTTTCCAAGGGCTAGTGCCTATATACAGCACCATTTTGTTTACCACTGGTTTGTTGTTCGTAAATTCAGTCAGCAAATCGGCCATTACTTGGCCTTTTACTGCCTTGATAGGCCGATGTCGCAACTCAAAGGGAGCCAGTCTGATTGTCCATTTCATTAACCTTCCCTGCATGGTTGGTCTGTGCAGAATTAATCTGATCAGATCCACTTTGGAAACCACCTCAGTTTCTCTTGGCAAAATGTAGTGCTCCAACCGAGTACATGCGAAGACTAAAGAATAACACATTTTCTCGGGCATAGTATAATTCAACTCTGGTCCTACCAAAGTTTTGCTTAAATAATAAATAGCTCTTTCTTTACCCTCTTCCCATTCTTGCGCTAGCGGACTGCTCACCACATCGAAACTGTTTGCTACATACAGTCTAAGAGGTCGATCTCCTCTTGGGAGAACCAAGACGGGTGGTTTGGTTAATGCCTGTTTGATTTCTTCTAACACCTCTTGCTGCTCCGGACCCCAACATAAATCGGTTGCTTTATTCTTTAACAGCTTTGTGATGGGTTTTAACTTATCTGCAGCATTTGATATGAAACGCCTCGGGTAATTTACCTTACCAACAAACTTTGCACTTCCTTAACCGTTCGAGGTGGTCGCATCGTCAAAACAACCTTGGTTTTGTTTGCATCGACCTCTATCCCCTTTTCATGCACTAAAAACCCCAGGAAATTCCCTGCCGAAACTCCAAAGGCTTATTTCCTTGGGTTCATTTTCAAGTTGTACTGTTTCATCCGTAGAAAAGCATTTTTTAAATCAACCAGATGCGTATCAAAGTCAGTAGACTTAATGATCACATCATCAGTGTATACCTCAATGAACTGCCCAATCAGATCATGAAAGATGGTATTCATTGCCCGTTGATAAGTTGCTCCAGCATTCTTTAAACTGAACGGCATAACTGTCCATTCATATATCCCTAAAGCTCCTGGGCACCTGAACGCGGTTTTGGGTATATCTTCTTCCTCTAGTGAGATTTGATTATACTCTGCATAATTGTCCATCATACTCAAAATTTGATGCCCTGCTGCCGAGTCGAGCAACATATCGGCTATGGGCATCACATACTCATCTTTCGGAGTGGCGAGATTGAGATCTCTGAAGTCAATGTAGATCCGAATCTTTCCATTCTTTTTGGTTACCAGGACGATGTTGGCTAACCATTCCGCATATCGACAGGGTCAAATGAACCCTACTTTCAATAACTTCTCAATCTCTTCTTTGATCTGTGGGAGCAATTCTGGACTAACCCTTCTTGGAGGCTGTTTATACGGCTTGAACCCTTTCTTAACGGGTAATCTGTGTTCTATTAAATCACGTACCAATCCAGGCATCTCGGAATAATCCCATGCCAAGCACTCCATATGGTCCCGAATTACCGTCACCATCTGTTCCTGCTGGTTTTTAGTCAACAAACCACTAACCCTGACCATCTTGGGTACCTGTTCGGTTCCTACATTGTATTCAATGAGCGGATCCTGAGTTGACAAGGAAGGTTCTGTTTTTTCTAGCAGGTCAGGCCAACGAAAACCTTCTGCCTCATCGACATTATTGTTGGAACCTTCCCTACCATGTAGTCTAACCATTAATTGATTTAAATAAAATTGCCTAATAAGCTCGTCACATTTACCTAATTCTTCCATAATTAAACCTTTAATAAACGTATAGTTTTTTGGCTAACAATAGAGCCATAAGAAAGAAGAATGTTTCTAATGAAACACATAGCCTTTTGCAGTGAGCTTACAACACTTCCAGGGATATTCATTTACCATAGCTGTTTGTGAAATTGGAGGCACGTACTCAGAGTAAAGTACGGACTTTTCCACAATTTCTGTAGAACCGAATGGATTAGTGCTGACATCCATTCTGAACACTTGATCTCCTTCCCAAAACATGATCTGTTGATGGAGCGAAGAAGAGACGCATTTGGAAGCGTGAATCCAATCTCGTCCCAACAGGACCGAGTAAGTGGTGTTGGCATCTACCACAAAGAACACTGGTGAAATCACCTTCGGTCCGACTTTAATAGGGGCTACCATTATCCCTTCTGGTTTTGTTGGTTGCCCCGTGAAGCTCGTCATTTCGATATCTACCAGAGACAGATCACCAATTCCTTTGCCCAACTTCTTCAAAGTTTTGAGAGGCATGACGTTGAAGACCGCTCCATTATCAATGAAAACCTTGTTAATCGGCTTACCACAGATGTGGGCATTAACATATAATGGTTTCAAGTGCGGAATTGCTCCTTCTGGTATAGGTGGAAAAACCATAGGTGGGGGACTGCCATGTCCCGGTGTATGTCCAGGACTACCAGCCATTGCCGCCCATTCTGGTTCTTCTTCCTCCAGCCTCGCCAATATAGGCTCATATTCTTCCTCGAACCAACGGATACCAGTCATCCTAACTTTGAACCTGGCTTTATCAGTCTTCATTATCTTGCTGCGCAAAGCCTTAGTTTCTTCTGGAGCAAACGTCCCAAAGATTATCTCAGGGACCTCTTCCTCGGCAGCTTCTATTTTAGGATCAATATTGATCCGTCTGCAGTATTGACACCGGAAACATCTAGCTTTCTTGATAGGCTTTTCGACCTCCCCTGTTTTCTGTAATCGGCTGCTCGAGTTTTTCCTTTTGGGTGATACCCCCTTCTTCTTTTTCCCTTTGTTTGCTCGCCTCCCATGCCAAGCTTCATACCTGCGCTTAGCATTACGAATTTATGTACAATTCATACCTAGAAATCGGGGATCTATGTCTATTGGCAAAGGCTTTCTGTTCCGGCTCCATTTGTCATGGACTGGTTGTGGCTTGCGCATTGATCGATCTCACACCACTACATTGTCCTTGAACTCCACCTTGAAGGATCCAAGTTTTTTATCCCACTTTCCAGCTGCCCTATTTTCGCAGGTCTTAAACCTGTCTTTCTGACCGAACTCCCTTTCTTTTGGCTTACGCTACCTCCGTTTAGTATCTTCCTCTCTTTTATCATCTTCTTGTGTGCTTTGTGAAGTATGCACAGTGATTACAGCCGTGGTTACCTTTGGGAAAGGCTTCTGCTCTACTCCCATTGTCACGAATTTGAACATTCCTGCCTTTATAGCCTTCTGTATTTCCTTTCGGAAATGCGTACATTGGTTAGTGTAATGTCTAAAAGAGTTATACCACTTACAGTATGACGTTCCCTTTATCTCCTCCCTTGTTGCTAACCGTTGTCCTTTCGGAATGCAAATTTGACTTGGATGCGTCAAACGTTGGCTGTTCCCGTTCCTCTGCCCCTGGAAAGGGTTTAAGTTTGGAACATACACAGGGATTGCCATTTACAATCTCAGCAGCCATTTCTTCAACGCCACTTCCCTGCTCGTCATTTGGCGCATACATTTCTGTATCGACACTTGCCATCTGTTGGACCTTGTTCCACCAGAAGTTGTGATCTTTTTCTCTAAAAAGAGATTCTAACCTTCCTTTGGATGCCAAACTGGCCAGGTCTCGAACATCGTGGGCTGTTAAAGCCTCCCGCAGTCGTGTATGCATATTCCTGACCACCAGGTTGGTCATCTCACTCTCCTCAATGATTGTCGGGCAACGCCCCTTCATTAGACGTATCCGCTCTATAAACTGATAGGCGGTCTCCTTCGGCATTTGCCGGATCTTCGGGAGATCTGTGAGTGAGACTGTCGGGAGAGGATTGAAGAACCTTGCATGAAAAGCTGCCTCCAGACCTTCCCAAGTTTGTAACTGTCCTGGCGGAAGATTGGCAAACCAAGGAAAAGCTGTCCTCGTGAGAGATAATCCAAACAACTGTAATTTGTGAAACGCATTATTGCCCACTTCCCCAAAATGAGCTGTGAAGCGTCCCACGTGCTCAATGGTTGAGGCTCCATCTTCTCTTGAGAAAAAATGAAAATCTGGTGGCTTATAATTTCGCGGAAGAGGATGCTCATTGATAATTCTCTTTGGAAATGGCCTCTGATAAGCCGGCCTGTTCACCGTTTGCGGACTCATTCCAAAATGCACCCGCAGAACTTGAGCGATGTCTTCCGGATCCACTCTAGGTGGAATAGGATCGAACACAGGAATGGGGTTTTGATCATGACCACCTAATCTTTCTTCTCTGGGGAAGGTTGGTTCGGCTCTGACACCCAATAGAACATTATTTGGGTATGTTAGAGGAGTCTTTCCCCTGTCAACCGTAGTAGTGGCACTTGGAAGAGTGTTGTCTACATATGAAGGTCCCGCAAAATTTGCTTGTAATCTGGATGGTGACATTCCTGGCGGTGACTGGGTGGGTTGCAGAGTAACCCTTGATAAAGCTTGATCTAGCATATTTTGCATAAGATTTTGTTGCTCACGCAACATGAGAGTTTGTTGCTCACGCAACATGTTTTGCATAGCCAGAGTTTGCTAGTTGTTCAATTGTTGAATATAAGATACCCAATCGGCGGGTGCTTGGGGGGCTTCCCCTGCATTTGCAATAGCAGGTGGTGAAATAGTTTACCCCATCGGTGTTGAAGATACTTGAGGCTGTGAGCCTACCATATGGATTCTTCTGATGATTCGGCAAGACCTCAGTCGTATAAAATTCTCTCTAGACGTAGGTCAGCAATCTTGCCTTCCTCCCACTGTGGTCGCCAAATTGTTGATGCAATTTTTCAACAATAAAAAGTAAAATCCAAAAATAGAAATTATCTTCGAATTTGATAAAAGAAATGCCTGAGATTAAGAATCTCTAGACATCGTACGGTACATAAATAAAATAGGAAAAATAAATACTACAGACTGAAAAGTAAATGGTGATCCCCAAAAGCAATTCCACTGAATTTGATGTTGATTGACGATGGTTTCTCTAGGTCATGAACAGACCTATTTAAACCCTATGTCAACCGCCACAACCAGGTCGTGCCTTCGTATCCGCTTGCCAGTTGTAACTTCTCTCAACCGTCTTAGAACTGCTTTTCGCCGACCGGGACACTTGCTGCTACATCTTATCTTGTCCAATTTCCACTCGTCCGACCTCCGTGTCCGCCATCTTATCTTTCTTTGTTCGACCTCCGTGTCCGCCATCTTATCTTTCTTTGTCCGACCTCCATATCGGCCGTCTCATCTTTCTTCGCCCGACCTTATCTTGTCCGACCTCCGTGTCTGCCATCTCATCTTTCTTCGCCCGACCTTATCTTTTGATCGACCTCAGTATCGGCCGTCTCATCTTTCTCTGTCTAACCTTATCTTGTCCGACCTCCGTA